CTTTTCCGGAAATTCAAGGGCCAATGTAGACAGCTCGCAGCTTATTCCGGAAAAGCTGATTTTCGGGAATAAGTGGCCCAGTGTAGACACAGCCTAGAAGTATTGGTAATGCTGCTGGACAATATTGACCTTTCATGCTTTAGCAAATTCTCTGGTTCAGCACCAGTCAGGTCCCAAGGGTATCAGACTAGAGAGATTCTACCTGTAATAAAATATCACCAAAAAACCTTAATAGATGACAAATGATAATTATCTATTCATTTTTATTTATATGTAAAATTTATTAATGAAATAACATAAAAAACCTCAGTATTTTCATTTTATTTTATTTATTTATTTATTTTTGTTTTTAGGAACATGCATTTGAGAGCAGTCAGAAATACAAAGAAGGAAAATTTATCATTGAACTTGCGCATATGATCAAAGACAATGGCTGGGAGTAAATTAAAAGCATTTTTTTCCACTCTTTTTGGACAATATTCTGAGGAACATGCTTTATAAAGACTAATACAAGTGAAAAGATTTTGACTGAGATGGCTCTGAGAATATCACTGAACTTTAAAACCTCACAAATGTATGGTTTGTGTATCTTTCAGGCCATATTTGCCTTTTTTCTCCTTGTGTAAATTTCCTCTTTTTGTATATGTATTCTTGTGTGAACAGTTGTTTTGGAACATTTTGGATGACTTTTTTCAAAAATCTCAAATTCTAGAGAGACAGTTCACTAACTGCAAATGAATTTTACTGGTTAGCATCTTTATTTGACCTATGCCTTTAATGCTACCTTCTGCTGTGCATGCTTTTTGCCTAAACACCTACACCAAATCTGATGAGTAATCCTGAAGAATGTATGGGCTGGGGTATCTTTTTATATGTAGCAATTTCTGGTATCTCTGGGTGTGAAGGGATGCAGTATTTGAGTATTCATTAATTGCTTTTTAAAATTTGTGAGTACCATAATTTGTGTATATCTTGCAGGCAAGTAAGTTAAAGGTACAGTTCACATTTGGAATTCTTTTGGTTATACTGAGTCAATTTAGTACATCTTAAGTTTTGCAAAGAATACATTAATAGTTCGGTATTTTTAGTGCAACTAATTTTCAAGGGATACTAAGGTAGTGACACTAGAGAATATATTTAACACAATTACATTCCTTATCCAGCAAACTTGTATCTTGAAGGGAGAAGTTGACAACATTACAACCTGCAAATTCAAAGGGCCCAAAAATATCTGCATCTTGTATTTATAAAAAATTAGTGTAAAAAAGTTTTGGTAATGTACCTTTTAACAGTAACAGGGACTTGTGCATCAGTGAAGTTTTATGGCTGGTTCCATGTAGCTATGTAGTCTAATGCACTGGACAAAGAGGTTGTTATAAAGAAAATTCACTGAAACATTCTGCTTTTGCTACACTTTAACAAAAATAGTTATTTTTATGTAACAAGAGGCCAGAACTTACGAGATTGAAATTTATAACCGTACCTGCAGAAGAGTGAGTGTTGATGGGTGGGCAGGAAATTGTGACAACTCAATTTCTTCATAAAATAGAATAACAAGATAATTAAAAAAAGAAAAGGGGGCTTGTTGGTTTGCTGGATAAATCATCCCCAAAGACATTTTCATAACAAAATTTATATAAAGCTCACATTCTTTCTGGTTTTTTTGGGGGGACGGACCTTGCAGCTTCTTCTTACTTGAAATAACTTAGTAAGAAAAGCTTCTGTGGATGTGTAGCTACAAAATTTACTATTGAGTTCCCTGCATGCACTTTCAGAGAGGTTTTTAAAAAAAAAAACCCTTCTCTTATATTATTTGCTAACTCTGTTATCAAATGAAAAATATTTGTGGAGGGCCTTTTGTATTTGGCTCCCTTAATGCTTGAGGACAGAGCAGTTGGGAATGCCTTTTACATTAACTAACACTACATAAGTACTGAGATGAAATTAACAGTATGAAAGTCTTATTATAGAACAGAAGTTAGTTTTCTTTTAATAACCATTTTAACATGGCATTTGTGAAATTTGCATTATGTGCCATTGCTGCTGCTATTACATTTTGGATAAATCTGTGACAGGCTTTCAAAATTCTACTGCACTTTATTACCACACATAATTCATTTACAAACATGCAATAGTTAGGAGCAAATCAGAAGTTGTACATCAGGAACTGTGATGATAAACCTATAGATCCTATATTTTAAAAAGTACTAGGTCTTAAATTCAAGGAACTGGTCCAGTATAGTTGTGTCCAAGGTGGATTTTTGTGGATTGGCTAATATTGCTCTTCCATAATCAAAAATTAGATTGGACTCAGGTGTTCCCTTTATCTGAATGTCACGGGCACAAGATGGTCATCTGGTGCTGCCCATCTGTTCAATCTGAAAGAACCCAAAATTCTATTTTGTTTGGATTATTTTTCAGTCTTCCTCTACTGTAATGTCCATTGCCAACAATGAAAGCACTGAAATAGCCATGAGTAAGGAGTTTGTGTTGGCTTCAAAGCCTAAAAGTAACACACACAGAGGTATTTATAGGAAATTCATACTTTTCTTGTTGGATATTTATGGACTCAAAGAGAATTACATGTACGTTGAAGAGAAAACTACCCCCCCATCCTTCGCTATAAAAATGATAGTACAAATTTAGAGTTAATGTTTTCTTTTTAACAGAGGGAGAACAATCTAGAATAATATTTTAAATAGTGGATTTGGATGTTTCATACCAATGAGATTTAAAAAAAAAAAAAAAACTAGAAGAAATCTTATTTAGAGTCTCAACCTCTTTTTTCAGTGCATTATTTCTTTGTATTTCATACTGGACATTTTCACCAAAATCTTAATTACCCTCAGTGCCAAAGGTTGGGATTTCATTAAGTGTTTAGCACCTAAACTTCAATTACTGGCATAAGGAATTATTGTGAATTTCATATGATGTTATGGCTTTTAAGAGAACCAAATAAAGAAATACTCTTATTGGTCTTTTGAGGGTAAAGGGAGGCTAAAAGGTAGTGGAGACACAGAGCTATAACAAATAAAAATTCCAACACACTGCTATGCTCAGTATGATATCTGGGAGTATGTGAACCTTTTTTTCTTATTGCTTGACATTATCAGTTATTCTTTGAAATAATTCTCCCAGTGTATAGACGTGGAGAGTTATGCCTAATGGTTTTGGTGGAAGTTGGTTCCAGATACCAGTGGCTGCTGGTTGACGACTGAAATTTCCAGCAGAATATATTAAAAAGAAAAAACTTACTTGAAGATAATTCTATAAAGCATTTTCCCTCTAACTTTTTATGTAATATATTAAGATTATATTTAAAGTGTTTGTGTGTTCATTCTGAGCAAGTTTACTTCCTCTCCCACTTGAGCACTTTTGTTACTTGTACTGGTTATTGTTATTGTTGGTCTTAACATTTATTTTGTATTTTTTATAAACTTTAACAAAAAGATTTGGTGAATTCTTTTATTTCATGCTAGCTCTTTCTTGGGCCAAATGAACCAATTACGAGCTGGCTTCTTGGAAGGAGTGTTCATTGGATACATAAGAATATGCTAGCAAAAATATACATGTATAGAAAGGATATTCTTTTGAACCTATAAAAGCTATCTATGACTGTCCTAAAATAATTAATCATCAGAATTTTACATGATTTTGGAATCTGACAGATTCTTCATTATCTAGGCTCTAATTAGTGACTGTAAACATGTGTTGCAGTTGTGAGTCTGCTTCAAGTGCCAACATTTTTTCATTCCATAACAACTATAGACACCTTTGGCTACGTCTAGACTACAATGATCTCTCAGAAAAAGGTACGCAAAACGTGCTCCACAATTTGTGTACCTTTTTCCAATGGTTTTTTTTGGATGAGGCTTTTCCGAAATTCAGCCCATTTACACTGGGCCAAATTTTGGAAAAGCCTCCTCTTTTGGAAGAGCCCTTCTTCCTCATGGGAGGAGAAAGACAGGGCTTCCAGAAGATCAGACGGTATCTCAGAAAAACCCCATCGTGTAGACATAGCCTGTTTAAACAGCAAAAAGCAATACTGTTATTAACAAAATGTTAAGTTGCAAAATTTCCTGTAAACTTTCTGACATACTTAGGGTGGACTTGATGATACATTAGCCTAACCACTTTTGCTGTTTTGGATTTTTTTAAATGTATTTATTTCATTGTGTTGCCATTTTAATATACAGTATGTTATTACCCTCTTACCCATCCATAACCTCTTCTGAGTAGTATCTTCCTATTGTTAAAATGGGCTGGAATATGTGAACTTTTTCATTATCTATCAACTATATAGTGATGTAGGCTGAATTTTAATGGTGTACTAATGAAGTCCTGATGCCCTACTGCAAACTAAATATTTGGCAAGCTTAAAATAATCAGCACTCTCTGTCTTAATTTTCATACATCTAATCTTATTGCAGCTTGAGGAAAACATGATTTGAAATTAATTTGGTTTCATGTGAACAAGACTTCAAAGTGACAGAAGCAATTAACCCTTTGATTATGGAAATAGTAATATCCATATTGCTCTCTAATGTAAACTACATTTGTGCTAACCTGGGGGACATTGTACCATTTCCAACTGGCTTGAGAATTTTCCTTTATATATTGCTCTTAAGATTTTTTTTTCAGATAAGAGGATCATGCAGTCAGATTGCAACACCCCTATCCAGATTGAAATACCAGACCACCAGAGAGAGACAAATTTTAATATGATAATAGTTGTATGATAATGGAATGAGTGCAAAGAAGCTGTCAAATTATTGTTAAACTTGTAGGATATTGTACTTTACTTCATTTAGTACTAGTGTAAGTCAATCAGCAATATCTGTTGTAAAGGAAGAGGAATTTCAGAAGTGATTTTGAAAAGGACAAATAATTTAAGGTCTAGAATCCGAGTCATAATGAGTTGTGCCTCATATTATTTCTTAAACACTTTAAAATGCTGTCTTTTACAGATGTCATGGCTGCTTTGTTGTTTTGTCCTAGCAATACTGTACATCATTTGTTGTTTCACTATATTGTATCTGAGGTATCACAATAAAATTTTCAATGCTTTTGTTGAGTTACTTTTTCACTGTGTGTGATCTGTGGCCATGGGAATCATTCTAAGCTTTGTGGATACATATTTTAGTTATAATATCAAGCTAAACATTTGCTTTTTCTTCATACTGTATTTAATGTATTTTTAAAGATGCATTAGACTGTGTCCCTCATTAGTGCATCTCAAACCTCCTACTCAGGACAGAAGAGAGTGTGTTTAATGGCACTTTCAGAAGGTAAAAACCTAATCTTCCCTGAAGCTTACTTTCAAAAGTTTCTACATAGGAATTGCCTTACTTTTGAAGGAAGATAATTTGGGTGTTTAAACAGATTGGATGATGTCTTTTTATTTTATTTAGTAAACTTGGCCAGCCTGAAACAAATCATGAATTTCAGGGAAGCACAGTAAACACTTTTGTCAGGGAGCTTTTGTAGTTGGTCTTTAAACAGATATTTTTAAATATTAACCATTAATTTAGATAGCATCTGAAAACACCTACAGGACCCCACCTATTTGAGGCTTTATTTAAATTGTTATCTATAAATACTATGTATTCATCCAAATGAGCTTGTGACAGAGTCCAGATACTGAAAGGTTTCCTAAATACCATTTGAGGATGACCAGGGTGGTTACTAGCTGCTTTTATAAAAATCGGGCCAGTGCATCTATGACTGATTAGCTGCCTTCTAATTGGGGTTAAAGGAAGACACTTGGCTATATAAGAACTGAGTCAGGAAAAGGGCAGAAACTCAGAGACGGAAAGGAAGAGTTTCCTGAAAAGGAAGGGGTGAAACAGTAGCAGCAGAAATCTGGTACAGAAATATATTATGAAGAACAACTGGTAAAGAAGGCTGTTGATGAGGACTGACCAGAACTGGAGAACCCCAACTGAGTTGCAGAAGAGTTTGTGCAGAAGCCTCTAGGAACAAGGGAAAAAGACAGCATGGTTAGAAACTGCCATACCTGAAACAAGATGGTTAATGCTGGAGGGTGAATCTTACGAACAGCATAGGACTCAGCAGGCAGAAAGGCCTGAATTGAGTGGGATATTGTGGAAAGTCTTGCAGCAAGCCTAGAACAAGAGATCCTTCCCAAAGCATAGGAAGTAATTACAGGCACGGAGGCCTGAATGTATTGTGGGGTGCTTTCTTGCAGGAAACCTTGCTTGGGGCTACTGGAAAAATGCCAAAGGAACAAAGCAACTCTGGGGGTATGTCTAGACTACATGCCTCTGCTGACTGAGGCATGTAAATTAGACATACCGACATAGTCAATGAAGCTGGGATTTAAATATCCCTTGCTCCGTTAGAATAAAAATGGCCACTGCGTTGTGCAGGCTCAGCTGTTTGTTGGCATGAAGCAGCAGTCAAGATGGGGATTGGTCGGCAAGGAAAGCATTTGACAACCAATCCCTTATGCCTCGTGCAATCAGATTTACAGGATCGGTCGGCAAAGGCTTTCCTTGCCAACCCATCGTGGTCTTGACTGCAGCTTCATGCCGACAAACTGCTGAGCTGGCACAACACAGCAGCCATTTTTATTCTAATGAAGAGAGAGATAT